AATATTCAAGGATATTAATCAACAATCACAGTGAATATTCACTGGTAGTCAGTGATATTCACTGGTATTCAGTGACATTGAATATTTGAATATATTCACAGTTCACCAAATTTCCAAGTAGGTTCCCCCTCGGACGCGCCGCACCCGCACACACACGCACCAAGCAGGAAGCACACGATGAACAGGCAGACCATCTCGACGTTCTTCAGGGCGTTCAGCACGTCGCCGACGACGTTCTTGGCCGGCGCCTTGAACTTGAGGTCGATGCGGAGCATGAGGAGGGCGCTCGCGAGCTTGAGCGCCGCGTACAGGTAGAAGGCCGGCCGGAAGTCCGTGTAGTGCTTGCCGCTGCTGGCGTAGTCGATGATGATCCCGGACAGCGGGGACGAGATCATGCCGCCGATGGAGGCGTAGATCCGCTGCAGGCCGTAGTCGCCGTTGTGCTCGCGGAGGATGGCGATCACCGCACCCTGGAGACGGAAAGGAAGAGAGTCAGACACCGTCACTACATCTCGATGATTGGGATTTTGTTCTTGAGTTTGTCGGTGACTACCTCAAACATGGCGAACGAGGTGCCGCTGATGACACCGACAAAGACGCGCACGGTGAGGTACATCCAGAAGGTGAAGCTGGGGTCGACCTCGATGGTGTCCTGCGCGTTGGAGCAGAAGCTGGCGCGGGGCGCGGACACGAGGCAGCTGGACACGCACTCGGACAGCGAGGAGGCCGGCGAGTGCGGCTCGGCGGTGGACACCCAGGCGGCGGCGCTGCGCCCGGGTCGCGCGAACGCGTCGCTGCAGGTGGCCTCCCTGAGCACCGGCGCGCCCGCCAACCCCGCCGCCTCCGCCGGCCGCAGCCCGGACACCAGCCAGCGCTGGTCCGCGTTGCTCGGGGTGGGCGGACTCAGCGGCGCCAGCGACGTGAGCAGACGCGTGCGCGTCGTTGGCGTGTCCACTGGATTGCCTGGGGAAGGAAACAAGACACACGGCTCCAATTAGCACTACACTTTTCAAAACGCTCTTCATTACTTTTCAGATTTGTTCTGATAATTGGTTTATAACTTTAAAAAATGAAAAATGTTTTTTTCTATTTCAAATTTTAGTCGCGCGTCTGGCTCCTCACCATTAGTAGGTGGAGGAAGGCACTCACCGTGTCCTGGGGGACCGTCGCGGCCCAGCCTGCAGCCCAGCCCCTGGCCCACGGGCGGGTCTGCGGTCGCGGTGTCGTTGCCGGTGCCAGGGGCGGCCAGGCTGCAGGTCAAGGTGTGCAGCCCCGGCGTGGGGAAGTAGGCCCAGGGGCCGGAGTTCTGCCGGGCCAGAAGGCGCGCGTCCGCGGCCTTGCTGCCGCCGCTCATGGGCAGCGCGTACGAGAAGGTGTCGCTGTGGCTCTGGTCCGCGATGCGCAGCGAGAAGCGGGGCGCGCCGCGCAGCGTCCTGTTGAGCTGGCCGGCGTCCGGGAGGTCGGCGCGGCACGACACGCCGCAGTTGTCCAGCGTCACGTTGAGCAGGTCGCCGGACCAGGGCGCGGCGCGGCACGGGTGCGTGTCGGCCCACGCGGCCTGCAGGCTGCCGCCCGAGCAGCCCACCGTCAGGAACACCCGGTCCGGGTACTTGACGTTGTAGCGGCCCACGGGCACGGCTAGCAGCAGCAGCGCGGCCAGCCCGCCCAGGCTGGAGAAGACGGCGAGCATCAGCTGGAACACGGAGAGGGGGGCGGGCGTGAGAGAGAGCGCCGCGAGGGCAGGCAACACAGCGGGCGGCGCGGCGCCCGGGCGGCCTACCGCCTGGAGGGCCTGTCGCCAGGGCGGTCCACTGCCTAGAAAGGCCTGTCGCCGTGGCGGACTACCACCTAGAAGACCTACCGCTAGAGCGATCTAGGGACAAGAAGGCTTACCAGCAGGGCGGTGTACCGCCAGGAGGATCTTCTTGGTCGACCTAACGCCTAGAGGGCCTAATGCCAGGGTGGTCTACCGCCTAGAAGATCTACCGCTAGGACGATCTAACGCCTAGAAGGCTTACCACCAAGGCGGACTACCCCGTCTACCGCCTAGAAGACCTGACGCCTAGAGTGCCTAATGCCAGTGTGATCTACCGCCTAGAAGACCTACCGCTAGGGCGATCTAACGCCCAATAGTCCTACCACCTGGCCGGTCTACCGCCTCTAGAAGACCTAACGCCTAGAGGGCCTAATGCCAGGGTGAGGGTGGTCTGCCGCATAGAAAGACCTACCGTTAGGGCTATCTACTATCTGGTAGGCCCACCGCCGGGGTGGTTTACCGCCGGGGCGGCCCACAGCCAGGGCAGCCTACGGCCCTGGGACGCACCCATGACCCAGAAGAAAGTGCGCGGCAGGGAAATGTGCCGAGTGCGGGGCCGGTTCGGCGCCTGCTGGCCTGGCGCCCACCGCGTCACTCTGAGGAGGGTCATGAGGTGGGGGAGGAGGGGGACAGGGGGCTCGGCGACCGGCTAAACCGGTCCCTGTCCATTGACTCGCGGTTCGTTTGCTCGCGGATCGTCATATCATCTTTGCACCTATGCGCGGCGCCAATATGCAAAAAAGAAGTAAAAAGCCGTGGGCTGTTCGAGCGTGGCGGAGAGGCGGGCGGGGACGCGAAGAAATATATACGACTTGCGAGGAAAAGAAACAAACGGATTTCTGCTTATCGCTTTATTATTAGACACGCTGTTGGAATTGTTTTCGGAAGCGGAATGTTTGCCTCTCTGGGGCTCTTGCTGTTTGCGCTGTTTCGCCCCTGATACGGACGACCGGACCAAGTCGAGAGTAGAATTCGGCGGTTTTCACCAGAACCAGACCAAACTAAATCTGAGAAGAGCGGGGTTTTAGAATGTCTGGTCTTGCTCGGCGACGCGCCGCCGGATGCGACGTCTGACCTTAAAACTGGCCTCGCCGGGGCTGATTTGCGCATTCGCAGATGCAGCCCGTTTGATACCCTTTTTCGTTTTTGTAACATCGTTCGCTCGGGCTGCGGCTGTCTGTATGCCGCTACCGGACCATACCGGACATGGATCCGACATAATCCGGCAACGGCTCGGCAATACCGGAAGTGCATCGAGGCGTCTGCGAATCGGGTATCCACATCCACCCAACAGCGAGGGGCGAGGGCGGGGCGAGCGGGAGGCAGGCGGTGGCGGGCGGCGCCCATGTGTTCTCTGCCAAGGCTGACCGGCATCGGTGCATCGTTGTGCTGGTCATGGTTCGGTTCGGCTCGGTCGGGCCAGCTCACTAGAGACTCGGAGACCTTGTCCGAGCCGAGCAGCACCTCAATGAAGTTCACAAACGAACGGTCACGGAGCGAGACACAGCAGCAGCAGCAGTAACAGAGACAGCGCAATAGTGATTATTTATAAACATTATGCGAAGATGGCGCGGAGATGGAGATGCGGAAGAAAGGGCCGCGGTGTCGTTTGCCGTGCCGAGCGGTGAAGGCGGCGCAGGCCTACACTGTGAAACTGTAAGGTCTTTGCGAGCGCGCAGCCGACACGTGCCTCTCAGTGAGTACAGTAGCCGACAGTAGCTAAACAGGGGCTGCATCAGCGCACGGGAGTGCTGTCGGGAAGCAGGCAGCAAACCGAACAGCGTAGCCCGATTTCAAACGATTTTCACTCTACTTGTTACATTAGTGAACTTTCTCAAGTCCAAAAAATTGTGCTACCTCAACAAAAATAAAATGTCATGTCGCATAATGTAAAAATTAGATTGACAATCGGGTGAAATCGGGCTTTGCTGTTCGGTTTGCTGCCTGCTACCCGACAGCACTCCCTTAAGCTGATGCAGCTAGAGTGGGTGATCTGCGCCTGCGCCGTCCTTTTTCTCTGGTTGTACTGTACTGGATTGAGGCGTGCGGGTGGGCTTGCCTACCGTGCGAGTATGCAACCCGTCCGCGCTCCTAAATCCGGTACAGTATAACCAGAAAAAAAAAGGGACTGCTCAGATCACCCACGCTGTACGCCCCCACAAGGACGCGGATCTTCTCAGGGCAAAGAAGAGCGTGAAAAATATCTTTGGCCGAACTTTTGAATTACCAGTGTAATGCGCGTTGCAATGGGGGAGGGAAAAACTGCCGCACACAATCATCTGATCGATGGTATATATTATTTTTTCTCGTAAGAGCTCTGTCGATCGGATTAAAGACGTGGAGACAATAATGTGATTACATCTCTGCATCCGTGACCCATAGGTACGCGTGACGAACAACATCGCGATAGCCGCCGCGCCGGGAGCAGGGAGCATCGCGGGACGGGACCGCGGGGGAGGGGATTGAAAAGTGTACATTAAGTGTATTGCACACTACGGCGTCAAAAGAGCTCCTCGCAACACCACAAAACTGGGCAAAACGAAAATAAAAGACTGTCTAATAAAATTTGGCTGTAATTGTCACTCCAGCGTCAAGCGTCAAAAAAAAAAAAAAAAAAAGGAAGTCAAAAAACTCGCGTTTCAGCTGAAAGTTTGTGCGCTTCACATGAGCGCGCTTCACGGGTATGCGAAATGGGATGGCATAATGTCGGCAAACCTAATAACAAAATGTGAGCAGTGGCGTGGAGCTATAGTGCTGGGATCAGCGAGCGGGCTCGCGTAGGCGACCGTGCCGCAGTATACTAGGGCGGTAATGACTGAGCCACGCTGCGGCCGGAGGAGAAACAGGCGCGACATCGGGGCATCTGCGAACGCCCGTCAGGTCCGTCATCTAGAGCCTCAAGCCCACCGGCCACCACGCCGCCGGGCCCCGTCCAGCCGAGGTTGCAACCAGTATCAGGGGGCAGATGTGGATATACATCGCGCGATAAACATATCTCACATGTCTAGGACTCACCTTAAAGTTTCCAATGCGGTCCGCGACGATGCCAGCCAGGGGAGGCATGACGATGGCCACGACGGGGGTCACGGCCGACATGATGGCCGTCTCCTCCACGTTGATCCCCAGCTCCCTCATGTGGATCGTCAGGTAGGGGTACAGCACTAGGACGGCTGCAGAAGAGCATTGTCACATTCCGTTAGAGACATAGAAGGGGATCGTACAAAAAGATCATTCGCAAATGACACGCCGCGCCGACACTCACTTGACGCGTGCACGAAGAAGAGCATCTTGAGCGGCAAGAGCTCCTTGTGCCGGAAGTCGTCGGCGATCCGACTGTAGAACTTTTTGGCGTACATCTTGGTGACTAGTATGGGGGCGATCACAGTTTGTCAGAAAAATAAAAAATTAAAATAGGGCAAGCGCCTCTTACGGGCGTGCTGCTCTGGCCTGCTGGCCCACACCGCGGGCGTTCTGAGCATGTGGTGGGGCGGGGTGGGGCGGGGTCACCGGGCTCTTGAGGTCGCCACCAGGACGTCCCTGCTGCTGGTCCTCCTGTGATCGGGTTCCATGGGCAGCAAGCGACGCGCCACTGCAACACAAGAAGACAGAGCAGAGTTAATCATGAGGAAATAATGCGAACAAGATAAATATGTAGCACACACTTTTATCGTCGAGATAAAAAGTGAAAACGTCTAATCCCAATCACGCGAAGAGTCCTCGGCCCCAATAAGGTATCAGGTATACCAGCACATCGATCTCTTGTCTGCGTCTCAAAATATATTCGTTTACTGTCAGCAGTTTGTTTGGTTTTCGTGGGTATTTTCTACAAAGAGATGTTTGAGTCTGCCGAAGCAGGTGTGCTCTACCACGTGTGTACAGTCGGACCAGGCTGGGCAGGGCAGGGCAAGGCAGGGCAAGGCGGGGTGCGGCGAGGCGGGGCGAGACGGGGCGAGGCGGGGCGAGGCGGGGCGAGGCGGAGCGAGGCGGAGCGAGG